GGTTCATTTGCTTTCCTCTCGCCTATTTCCAATGAAGCAGTGACCAAAAAACAAAGTGCTAAAGCAAAATCTCACAGGAAATGGTTAAAAAAAAAAAATCAGTTTTAAGCTTTATTAAGTTTTTATTGCAGTTCACAAACACTGCACAAATGATTGAATGTGTTATCTCATTGGACTGAGACTGTTAAAGGCCAGATGGCAACTCAAATTTATGAGAAAATATCAGTCTTTCTTTTTAACAAGGAGCAGCTGATTATCATCTCAAATGCTCAAATACCTCAACTACAGCCCCAAATCCCAAATGAGTTGAAAAAGAGGCGCCATGGATGAATTCCCGTCAACCTGGCGGCGGTGCTCGAGATCCTGCAGCTGGTGGAAAACGCAGCTCGTGACAACGGGAGGACCGGGATCATCCCCCAGCCCCTTCAGCAGTCCGTCTGGGGTGACAAGGAGCTCGGCATGGCTCAAGGAGGAATTCTGCCCGGCATTTGTCAGTCCTGCTGCCCAGAAAAACTGAGAGGCCCGGGGTGGAATATCTGTGGCCAGATTCTTCAGATTTGCTACAGGAGATCCATCCTGCTCACAGCTGTCAGCATCTATAACAACTCTTGAATGAAACCTGGATGATGAGCTACAACACTTAATTTCCCTTTGGGATTAATAAAGTATTTTTGAATTGAATTTATTACAAATGTTTAAGCGGTTACTGTGACAACTGGTCAATGTGTTGTGCAGCTCTAACTTGAAACAGACCTAAAGTGCAGCATAGTGGAAGGTTAAAAAAAAAAAAAAAAGGGAAAATACTCTGCTGTAATTACGTTTTATCAGGGAAAGTGTGAAGTCGGTTGGAATCGGCATCATCAGCAGAATCCTGAGAGCTGCTCGCTGTTCAGCCTCCGGCCTCCTACTGTCCACCAGCCGCCGGCTACGGTCCACTGCAGAGAGCCAGCACGGTTCTCTGGTCTAAGCGTTAGCCAGCACCGGGCAGGAGGACAGTACTCATCAGTCAATCATCGTCTATTAGACATGTCATGCTCAGCCTCCCCCAGCCCCCAAAACAACCCTACTCAGCACGCTCAGCACTGTGCCAGCTAACAGCAGCTCATGAGTAATAAGGTTAAACTTTTACAACTTCTGTTCAGCTCTTTTTACCTTTTCTGGTTCTTTAGCGGCCCCCCCCCACCAAACTTCCTCCTAACAATCAACTGTACTCCTCATAATGTGCACCACTTCCTCTTTGTTTGTTGAAGTTGCTAATATTAAGAGAAGCAAGTTCATTAGTGTAATTTAACATTGTCTAAAGTTGTTGCGCTCCCTTCCTCTCTGTTTGGCAGCTAGCTAAGATCTGTCACCGTGATGCATGCACTGTTAATGAGCTTCCCTTGTTTATGCTTTTACAGCAGCATGTGATAATTAAACTGCAGAGAGGAGTGTGAAATAATAGCTTCGTGTTTACTTTGCGCCCTGCTCATGTGCCGCTGGAGTGTGTGTTTAATTGTTGAACACTCAGACTAAGGCAGAAAGGTGTCACTCAGGTGCTTTTTGTTTGTGAATGTAATAATGCACGTTGTCTTAGAAATATCTTGCGCAGTGTTTTGCCAATAAATGAGTTATTAAAGCTGCAGTTTTCAGTGTGTACGTGTGTGCTTGTCAGTCAGTGCTGATTAAAAGGACAGAGTGTGTTAGAGCAGGATGCGGTACTTCCTCCCTAACTGGCTTTTCTCATAGATTCCCTGACAGCTCTGTAATTACAGCTCTATTAAGAGATGTCTACGTGTGCGTGTGTGTGTCTGTGTAAGAAGCAGAATGAGTGTCATGAGTTTGATGACTATGAAATGAGTCGCTGAATACCGAGTGGTGTTTTTTTTTAAATCTTTTGTTATGCAAAGAAGCATAAAGCAAAACATTGATCAAGAACAGAGAAAGGAACAAAGGCGGTCCTTCTCGGTGTCACAGCCCCGCACGCAGCCAGTTTTCAGCTGACATATTTGCCTCTTACCCAGCCCTCCCAGCGAGAATTCTGCCAGCATGCCATGATACTGACACTGACGTTTGAACCCCACACTGGGACCATATTGAGGCCGCGTGATGCAACATGAGGTCATCCCTGCGTGGTTCGTTTGGGAGCAAGGCCTAATCAGACCATGTTTTTGTGTGAGCTATAGAAAGGAGCAGGTAACAGATAATGGATGGATGGAATATTTACACAATGTGAACTGCAGGTCCAGTTAGCATTTTTTCAAGCGCTTATCACTCACAACTAGGCCTGTCACGATAACACATTTTGCTGCGCAATTAATGGTGTCAGAAATTATTGCGATAAAAAATATTGTTTGTAATTTGACAACAATTAGTAATTATTGTCAAATTTTAGAAGAAATTTTTAATTTATTTAGAGTGTAGTACTTTTTTCGACCACCAGATGGAAGTACAAGACAGTTTAAACCGAAGGATGGATAGTGAGGGAGCGAGCAGCGTGTCTCTAAGAAAAATGGGACGGAGGCCCCTTGACGTGACGTGGTCTGTGTCTCGTTCCTTTTTTTTCGGTTCTCAAAATGACGGATGCTCAGTGTGGTTTGAGCTTTTTAACATAGCATTTTTCACACAAAGCTTTTAATAAAAAATCAGTAAACAAATTCTCAGCTTCTTTTGCAGAGCAAAAACAACTTTTACCATGAAGGCACTGGTTTCAACCATGAATTTTTGGAGCTTTGACAAAACTGAGTTTTTTCCCGAGGTCGGCTTATATAACTCGTAGCTTAGCTTTTTAGCTTAGCTGCTTTTAACGTTCCAAAAACGTGATTTTGGACAGTTAACAGATTTTTAAAAGAAAAGAGAAAGGGAGGAGTCAGTTGAGCCTTTTGTCATCCAGTGTCTTCAGTAGAAAGAGAGACACGAAGAAACAATAAAGCCGATAAATGAAAATGAGGTTGATAATTTTCATTTATCATGCGATTAATTGATTTATTATCGCGACAGACCTACTCACAACCATCATGTAGTACAATAGACATGCTTTTGGTTCCCACAGGGAAACCTTTGTAAGTAATCAAGCACCTTATCGCCGTACGAACCTAGTAAAGATGAAAAAAAGAAAACAACTTCCTCTGTTTCAGAAAGCATAAATTGTTTAGGTATTAAAATTCAATTCAATTTCTATAGCGCCAAGCCACAAACTAAGTTATCTCGGGGCACTGAACAGAAACATTCACATAAATGCCAGTTGGTAAAAGTTATCTGTCTAAGGAAGCCAGCAGACGAGTTGAGCCTTGATTTCGTCACAGTCTCCCATCCTAAGCAAGCACAAAGGCAACAGTGGAAAGGAAAAACTCGCTCATAACGGGAAGAAACTCCAGCAGAACCAGGCTCAGGACAAGCGACCATCTGCTTCGACCGGCTGGGGTTTGAGAGGACGGGAAGGAGAAATGGACACAGAATGGCAGGTCCAGAATGGAGGCGAGCTGGTCCCTGTCTAGGAGGAAAGACAAAAAATAAAAAAGTTAAGATAGAAATAATTACAAACTATTCATTTGTAATTATACATTTGATGAAATGAGGTCAGTTTATTCTCCAGTAATCTAAGCCTATAGCAGCATTACTTAGGAATAGGTCAGGAAACCTAATCCGACCCTAACTATAGGATTAATCAAAAAGGCCTAGTTTGGCCCAGTCTTAAAACTGGACAATGTGTCAGCCTCAAGGACAGAAACTGGAAGTTGGTTCCTCTAGAGAGGAGCCTGAGAACTGAAAGATCTTCCTCCCATTCTGCTTTTGGAAACTCAAGGAACCACAAGTAAACCTGCAGTCTGAGAGTGAAGTGCTCTGTTAGGAAAATATGGAACAATAAGATCTGTAATACAAGATGGAGCTAGGTTGTTGAGGGCTTTGTAGGTTAAAAGTACGATTTTTGAATTCAGTTCTGGATTTGACAGGGAGCCAGTGGAGAGAAGCTAAAACTGGAGAGAGATGATCTCTCCCACTTACTCTCATTACACAACAATGGGCTTATTTTGTCTAAATACTACTTCAGTTTTCCAGAAGAGAAATTTGAATAAAACCATCAAAGAAAGTACTGGATCCACACCTTCAACTGGTGACCTGTTTAAATCTAAACCATATTGAAGGGTTCAAGATGGCTGCCACAGCATATTCGTCGTAGCAAGCACAAAAATGGCTAACTCAGCCAAATTTACAAACATTCAGCAAAGTTTTGTTGTATTTGAGTCATTCCTAAGATCTACTCTGAGATCCAGCAGATCACACAAGATCACATTTTAAACTGTGGCATTCGGTCATGTGCATTTCTTCAAGAAATACTGCTTTTTTTATTTAGTTTTTCCACTTAACTGTTTATTATCGCATATCTTGCAATGCTCAAATAGAAAACCGAATCTATAAAAAAGACTAGGTGTCCTCCTAAAAAAAAATAATAATAATAATTTAGACGTTTATTGAATTTTTTTTGTCAGTTTCGCAGTCGTTGGTTTCTGACAGATTTACATCGTGTGGCAGGTTAGAGGGCTCCGCAACACAATTTTTATCAGATACTAGCGAGGGCTCTGATGTCAAAAAAGTAATTAACGTGTTCTCTATGCATTTCCTATAAACACGAGTCCGTCCTCACCTCTGGATGCCATTGACCTACTTTATATGCACTCCAGTCTTCACCGGAGCGACATGCAATTTCTCTCGAGTGTTGGTACAATTCCACTTTCATTTCTCATCCTGGCTGGCTATGAGGTTTTTCTGAGACAATTTGGATAGCTCTGTAATTACATTTCAATTATTAGGAAACAGCTGTGTGTGTGTGAGACACTGATGACAGCAGCTAGTAATAAAGAAGGGAAAGAATCTGGCTCTTGTGTCGTCACTGTTGTGAAATCTTTTTTTCCTCTAATAGACACCCCCATGTTTGATTTTAACTAATAAATAAAGGCAGAACTCTGTCTCTTTGTGTTACTTTGTCCCTGTTTATGTGTGATTTTTGTTGTTTCTGACAGAGACCGTGCATCGCCACATGCAACATTACGAGGTGGAGTACCTGCAGTTCGCCTTCCGCTGGATGAACAACCTCCTGATGAGGGAGCTGCCGCTGCGGTGCACCATCAGACTGTGGGACACCTATCAGGTGCAGTGACACACAAACACCCAGCACGGCTACTCTTAGAGCTTTTGTTACCTTGTTTGCCCCATTTCTCTCTATGAGACTGTAAGATTTGTCCGGAAGAAGGAAACGGGTATTCCTGACGATGATGCCGGAGATTGCTTCAGAAGTGCCACTACTTTTGCTTGTGCAGTCTAACGCAAAATAATTGAAGGTGTTCAAACATGGCAGCTCTCTCATATTTGTGTGAATGCTGCTATTGTGATCCATTCTTCTTCTGTACATTTTTCGGTAATTTTCTGGTTCCACCATTTTTGACTAAATCAACAAATCCTAAATCAAAATGTTCAGCTCGTTCAGGAGAAGGGTTCTGTGATGTTTTGGTACTGGTTCAACTTTAGTTTTTTGAAATATTTAGCCTTTTCTGACTTTTTTTTTTTCTTCCTCATAGAAAATTGAGCTCATTTTCCATCCTTCAAATCTTTAGATCTGTTTACAACCTTTTACTGCTCCTCTCACATTTTGTTCTGCTTCAGCTTCTTTCAGCTTCCTTCTGCAAATTTAAACATTTTTATCATTTACTTTCAGCTAATTTCAGCTGTTTTTCAGTTGTTTTCAATTAATTTCAATTCAGTTTATTTATATAGCGCCAAATCACAACCAAGTTGTCTCAGAGCACTTTACAGAAACATTCACATACATATAAGCCAATTAGTTAAGTTCTCTAAAGAAGCCGGCAGACGCGTTGAATCTTCACTTCGTTGCAGTCTCCCATCCTGAGCAAGCACAGTGGCAACAGTGGAAAGGAACAACTCCCTTTTAACAAGAAGATACCTCCAGCAGAACCAGGCTCAGGACAAGCGACCATCTGCTTTGACTGGCTGGAGTTTGAGAGGACAGCTTGCTATGTTCGTTTCAGATTATTTCTGCAAGTTTCAGCTTTTTCTGCTATTTCAGCTACTATTTAGCTCTTTTTCTTTTTTTTTGCCAATTGTATATTTGCACTCATTTCAACTTTTTTCAGCCTAATTTAGCAAAAATGTGCTCCCTCCACTTCCTTCTGGTAATTTAAGCTTCTTTCTGCCCTTTGAGCTACATTTCTGCTGGTTTTTTTGTCTAATTTCAGGTTGTTTTCCAAAGAATTTCCACTTGTTTGTGCTCATTTCTGCTTCTTTCAGCCTAACTGAGCAAACGTGTTCTTTCTGCTTTCTTCTGCAAATTTAAGCTTGTCCTACCTTTTCATCTACCTTTTTTTAAAATGATTTTTACATAATTTCGGCTGTTTTCAGATGAAATAAAATGAATTTTGTGGAATTTTTTGCTGATTTCAAACGTTATGCCCCTTTCAGCTTTTTTCTGCACTTTCAGCTACTATTTTAGCCTTTTCACCTAATTCCACAGTTTAGGTCATTTCAGCTTTTTCTGCTTCTGTTGGTTTAAAAGGAACACTTCTTTCTACCTTTTCAGCAATTTTTATTTAGGTAATTTCAGCTTTTTTTAGCTGATTTCCTAACTTTGTGCTCATTTCTGCCTAATTCGCAAAAATGTCTTGTTTCTGCTTTATTCTGCTAATCAAGGCTTGTTTTTTTATTTCAGCTACAGTTCAGCACTTTAGCAAATTTCAGCAGTTTTTGAGCAAGTTCTTCAGCAATAAGCATTCACACTGCATTTTCACAGGAAATGCAATTTTTCCAGTTGTTTTTGTTGCAGCTTCACTGAGCTGCTAAGATGCAAAGATGTAGAGACACCAATATTATCGCATCCTTTTTGTGAAAAGTTGAAAATATTCTTAAAAAACAAAGCAGCAATTGTGATGAACGTTTATGGATGTTGAAATTTAATCTCAAATCTAAATGCAGTAGAAGTAAAAGCTTATTTTATAACAATATGAACCCCAGATATTTAATGTGTTGATGAGTTTATTATTTTACATTATAGCTTGAAACATTCTGGAAGTATTAAAAAAGACTGTTGGGGGCCGGTAATGTAATAAAAAACTGGTGCCCATGTTTAAATGAGGTATTATGCATACACTTAGTGGAAAATGGACTAATATTTATACAGTCTTCAACAAGGCTCTGGGCTAAAAGTGCCTGATTTTCTATATTTGCTACCTGCAGTTGGCATAAAATATTCACTGTCTCCTGGTGGTATATGCATCTTAAAAATCAGAGAAAGAGGAATCTGCTGCCCTGTTGCCTTAACAAAAAAGGGCAGACATGTCAAAAAATGTATAAATCAGCCTCTTCTTTAGTGGGGAGTTGCAGGTATTATTGCAACTGCACCTGAATTATGGAAAAAGTGTGTAAAATGAAAATAAAATAAAAATAAAACCTCGGTCTTGTCAAAGCTCCAAAATTCACGGTTGAAACCCGTGCCTTCGTGTGAAAAGCTGTTTTTCTCTGCAAAAAGAAGCTGAGAACTTGTTTACTGATTTTTTTATTAAAAGCTTTGTGTGAAAAATGCTATGCTAAAGAGCTCAAACCACACCGAGTGTCCGCCATTTTGAGAACTGCAAAAAAGGAAGGAGAGACAGCCCGTGTCACGTCAATAGGCCTCCCTCCCATTTTTCTTAGAGACACGCTGCTTGCTCCCTCAATATCCATCCTTTGGTTCAGTCTTATACTGCCATCCGGTGGTCAAAAAGGTACTACACTCAAATTAACCAACATTTCTTCTTAAGTTTGACAATAATTACTAATTATTGTCAAATTTCAAACAATATTATCATGTATCACGATAATTTCTGAGACAATTAATCGCCCAGCAAAATTAGTTATTGACAGGCCTGGACAGTATCGATTATATTCTTTTTGAATTTGATGATAAGAGAGAGCATTTGGCAAAATACTGAGGAAAAACTAAGCAATAAGAAAGTACAAAAAAGTTACCAAATTTTAAAAAATGGCCTCATGTTAAAAGTTGCTTTTATTGAGTAAAAACTTTTAGGTTTCAGTGCAGTAAGAGACCCAGAGATCCTATATTATAGCTTGTTCAAATTAATTTAAAAGCCACACATTAAAATGTCATTAAAAGAAATTATTAACTCTAACAAAAGCTTATTTCATTCTGTTTAAAGTTTAATCGGCTGCAGGTGTGGGTGTTTTTGTTCTGTCTTGTATGTATTATCCATCACACCAACCTTTACATTTTCAAGATGATTCTGGGCTTTTGTATCAACATTACAGATGTAACTCCATCAAACAAGCTCCAGATGTTTAGCTGCAAGCAGAACAATGATCTTATTGCAATTCAAATATATTTGCGCCTTCTGACCCCGTTGCTCTTTGACATTTACTCAGAGATTAATAGGCGCCTTCAGTCGGGCCACACGGTTAACCTCAGTTGGCATCGTCAGTAACGCCTAATGTGCGTGTATCGATTAAGATTGTGTGTGCATGCTGGAATAAGGGTTTGAGGCTTGAGCTGAGTACATACAATGGATTTTCCCGTTGACGCAGCGGTTGAGAGTATAGACACGTGACTACGTCAGAGTGTTTGATTAGGTGAGGCTCATCGATGGAAAGGGGACTGAAGAGTTGAAGTGGACTTGTCTCCTGATGATGCGTCCAGCTGTGCCAAGTGTTTGAACAAGCATGAATCCTTTCGGCTGTCCATGTTCTCGGCATCCTCACACCTTAGTCAAATACAGCCATTTCATGTCATATACACTTTATCTCTGCACGAGTTCCATAACTTGGAAGTCATAGCATCAAACGGAAAACGTAGCCAAGTGATAGTTGAGGTTGATTAAAGCTGCTTCCTGATCCTTCAGAAAAGACGTGAACTTTGATCAAAGCAGAAAGCACAGTGTTAGTTTTTTATTTCACCTGAAAGCACCAGAAAAATATGAAATGATTCAACTGGAAATGAAGCTCATTTGGAAGGGGAGGTGACGGTTTGAAAGGTCAAAAACGAGTTTTAGGGTTACCGAAAAAAAAATAAGAGACGTGAGTTTAAAAATAGGTGTGAACATTGACAGGAATTCAAAGAGACTATGGAAAATGGAGAAATGAAAAGTGAATATGTTGCGGTGTATAACTGAAGTGCTTAGTTCAGTACCATCAAACCATAGCTTGAATTAATAAATAGCAAATGAATTCCATCTAAACCTTAACGAACTCTGACTGAACTGTGGGCAGCGTGACAAAGATGGAACCTGACAGTTAAAAGCCACACTGTAGTCCGACTGGACTTAAAACGTCTTTAGGTTGATTCCAGTTCAGGATCGAGCCGACCTGTCCTGTCCCTGCAGGAATGCCACGTCAGCAGATTATGAGCTTGTTGTCCATGTGCATTTTTAATTAACCACGGTAGAAGCAGTTTTATTCAGATTAGAGCTTTCTGGGATATTTTGGAACAAATATTTTGTTTTAGTGATTTCAAAAATTTTTATTAATGTAAAGTCCGTCTGTCCTGCTGTAACTTCATCCTCGGATTATTTCCTACTAATTAAAATGGACAAAACTTTAATCTGAACAAATTAAAAACCAACGTGGTTGATGACTACGATACTTTAACCTCAAAGTGGGTGATGCTTTATATATACACACAAGGATAAAGTTCATAATTGATTGGTCCTTTTCTCTCTGTGTACATTTCAAAAATGTACTTTAGTAGATTGATAAAGCTGCAGAGGTTTGTACAAAGCAGGAAAAGTGGGTTGTAATGTGGGGATCAGAATTATATGCCAGTCTTAGAATAACTTGTTTTAAAGCTGCAGACATGACAAAAAAACCTGTGATTTTTAAAATGCTGATATGCGACCACACAAATTTCTTGTCATACAAGACAACTTTATTTATAAAGCACTTTAAAACTTTAAAATTACACTGTTGGCCAAAGTCCTGTACACTAACGCATACAAGCAAGCATAAAAACCATAAAATCAGGAGATATGGCATGTTCTTACGTGAGTGGCAGGAGCTTTTGTGTTAATTTTGGTAATTTATCTGCTGCAGCGCCTCTTTCCTGTGGAGTTCCACAGGGCTCGATTATTGAACCCATTCTGTTTTCACCATATC